GGCGTGTTTTGCGCAGGAACTCCAAAATAGCTGTGTGATTGAAAGCTTTCGGAAATGAATCCGCGCTGATCGTGGCTGGTAAGGCACAAGCCGCACGGCATATGGGACACGAGAACATGGCAACATTTTCCGTGTTATCCGGGAGATTTGTAGAGGCCACCTGACGCATATAGCGTGTCAGACACTCACAGCAGAATGCATGACCGCATGGCAGTAGACGGGGATCTTCCAAAAAGTTCAGATCGATAGGGCATGTGACCATGTCCTCCAGTGGTTCCAGGGAGCTGACTCGACGCATGGTTTGCGCCTGAAATAGCAAGCAAAACGATTGCATCATCGATCGAAAAATATATACAATGAGAATTTTGTTTACACCGAGATGCGGATGGCAAATGGGTGGTGAAAGCACTTTTAGATGATTGACTTTTATACTCTCCCATTTCCTGATAAACTGCCTAGATTTGGTGCAAACGAAAATCCGTAATTCACACCATTTATTACTATATTTTTGTGAGTAAACTCTGTTTCGTTCAATGTTTATCTGCAATATCCCCCGTTACATGATTAAAGGTGCTAATCTGCCGTCTCCTATTTCTGGATCAAATAGCCGGTATCCACCTTTAGTGACCTCACGAAACTTGCTTTCTTGAAATTAGTTGATCCAACCCATTCTGGATTAGTATTCACTCTCTATTGTGAATTATCACCATTTCCGACCTAATTTCATACTTTTTAAGCAATAATCATTAAGTGCAACAACGTACATTCAAATTGGCTTTCATTTGAAATTCAAGAGGAGGAGAAAAATATTCACAGAATTCTTGAAGTGTTCACAGAAATGCCTGATATCCCCACCTATCGTAAAGACTTTACTCTTTGGTCTGTGGATCCTCATCTCATCAAACATTCTTTTATGCACTATTGTATAAATATATATGACAACAGTCTTTACAGATACGGAGCCAAGATAACCATGGGTTTAACACGAGATATAGAAATCGAAATGGGAATTAGAGAAAAGCTGTCAACTTAGGAAATAGATTTTTTTTCGTTTGTTTACTGCACGACATTTGGACTTCCATTTTGTTTTATTCTTGGGGTCACACACAGAAAAGGTTGCATTTGCACCACTGGTCTGGGGCCGATGCCATATCCCGCAGTCCCTCCAGCCAAAAGCATTCTGAATCTTTGGGGCCCCATCTGGGGAACCGGGAAGCCCCGATGGAAGCTAAATCCGAGCATAATCTATTCAACCCTCTACGCCACGTCATAGTTTGCCCACCTTACTGTTTATTCCAACTCAGATCAGTGTATACAAATAGTGCAGACGCTGCTCAGGTATCCGTAAGATGTGCCATCTAAGACGCAGTGAAATGGTTTTGCTCAATAGAAGACTATCTGATCCTAACACTCGTCACCTGACCTCATCGTTATTCACGCAATGCTCCCAACGTACACAGGTAATGTTACACAGAAAACGGTTTTCCAAGATGGATAGTCGTTGGACATGAACTACTCGGAAAGGTCAGGTTTGGTAGCCATAGAATAGCACGGGGCGTGCCGTGGAGCAATACACACGCCCTTTCAGTGAAAAAGGGTACGTTGCGCCGGTGCCATAGATGCCGCAGATTATCAAACGCTAATCTAGCTTCGATCAGGCGTTGAGAGATCTCCTCGCCCACACCTCCGCCAGCCGTTATGCAACTCCCGAGGTAGACTGCGTTCGACTACTTCCAGGGTGTCATTACCCAACGAAAGTGCAGGAACTGGTTCCTGCCAATTTTGTCATAACACCTTGCACTTTGAAGGTACCAAGTATATACTATAACGAGTAAACTCAACTGCCAAGCGGTTTAAAGACTCCTGAATTGTTGGTGCGTTGTCACCGGAGGTCTGGCGGTCGAGTGCTTTTAGAAGCGGAACATACTTCTCGGGTGCTCCGTACCTCATCAAACTATGCGAGGTGCCTGATCGAGTCGAAGGCCAGTCTGGTGTCCAAGAACACGACAATAGTTTGTCCTCTGTAGGTGTGACGGTGTTCTAGTAGCTGACGAAGGGTGAAAATTTGATCTATGCGAACACGGCGTGCACGAAACCCAGTCTGCTCTTCGCGGATGTCTTTTACGAAATGGACTTAGTCTGCGTAACTAAACGGACGCCAGTAGCTTCGGCGCTATTGGAATCAGACTTATGCCCCTGTGGTTGGAACAGGTATTGCGATCGGTTCTCCCCATGTGTGGGGTACACTTTCTGTTTCCCAGATCTTCGAGGACAGTTTTACAGGCTCTCTCACGAGAGCTTCTCCACTCTCTTTAGAGAGGGCAGGTGGCAGCTATTCCGATGCAGCCGCCTTTCAGAGCTTGGAATTCCTGTCGGATCTCCGCTTCTAGTGGTAGTCCCGTGGATAGTGACCAGGCTGCACTCTCAAGAGAACGAATTGAAGCAGCCAGTGCGGAGGGCTGGTTGATCTGCAATGCGACGTCTTCTTTCCGGCGTCCCAAGCCTCAGTGAACTGTTTATTAGCGTGCCGTCTACTTCGCAGACTGTTTCACTAGCGCACCGTCTTTTGGGACCCGTAGCACTGATGAGTTGGAATAATTGCAGGGTTTTTCCGCACCTAGTTGCTGATTCCATCTATTTTGCACGTAGCGTCCACCAGGGTTCTCTGTTGTCTCTCAAACTCCTTGTGAGTTAAGGCTTCAGAGAGAGGAGCTGTTTACTATACACGTTGTTTGTCGGGTTTGCCCGAGGCGTGTCAATAAGCCTGAGATAGTTGGAGGAAACCCGGTGTTTTAGAGCTCGGTCGGTTAAGGCACAACTGTGCAAACTGGCTGAGTGCCTTGCGTTTTGAAGGTTTGTCCAGTGTTGATCTACGCTTCTTGGTAGTAGTAGCCTTGCAACCCACTCGTTTTGGGGGTCGCTTAGCATGGCGAGGTCAAACTGTTTGCATCGCATCTTTTTGCGGTCACCAAATCGTATAGACAACTTGGCACAAACCAGTGCGTGTTCGGAATCCAAGCAGGTCGACCAATACGAACGGAGATTTTTCACACATCCTTTCCATCTATAACTAGTAGCTATAGGATCAATCTGACTCATATCTATGCCGAAGAGGGGTTACGCCAAGTGGCGGGGTGACTCTGGATATCTGAAGCTCGTGTTAACGAGGAACAGCCTGTGTTCTGAGCATTTGCTAAGAGATCTCTGCCCATTATCTGAACGACGGGTATCGAGGCCATGATGGCCACCAAGATGGGACTCATCGGGCAACAGATGGTTAACGCGTGCACTTAGATCTCCAACATTGGTATGTGGATTTAGTTTGATGGGATAAACTCCGGAATGGTGGTTGAGAAATGCTAGCAACCGAGTAAATAGAAACAAACCAACCGTGCCGAAGTTACCTCCCGGATAGTTAGATTGAACATGCTTTCTCCCTATCCGATTTTCTCTGCTCGGCGTCCTAGGAGCAGAATGTCACTGTTTGTGTTGCCATCTGGCGCTTCTGACACAGTCTAGCTAGGTTGAAGTCCGTCCATTTCTTACAATCTAGCGGGGCTAAAAATGATGCAAAATGATTTGGTTCACATGAGTTCCAATTCACAGTAACCCCATTCCCACACAGACGTCAGATTTCAATCGTGAAGATACAAGAATGTGGAACTATTCCGAGAGAATTCACACATACGACCTTATATTTTCACTATAATAAAGCGAGTCGATCTTTTGTGCTCCTATAAATGAACTAGGGAAACCTCCATCCACAGAGAACAAATCGGACAATGGTTTTTATGTCCTGGATTCAGTTTGATGAATTTTGCCTCAGCATGCGGTCACTTTTGGCCCGTGATAAACAAAATCCTCGGGTCTGGTGCATTCTTTGGGGATATAGGACAATAAGAGCATCCCAGAGAGAAAAGGTGCATCGTAAAAGTCCGTGAACTAACAAAACGGTGAGGTAGCTTGGAGTTATTTCATTCATTAGTTGTACCACTCCAGAGGCTTTGGATTGACTGACCTGTGCGCACTGTAATGCGGATGACCTTGACACGACTACAATCAATGGACACAAATATCATGTGCACAAATCTAGATTGTAGAACAGGTTTTCGCTATGAATAGCCAGAATCAATTAATCAAATGTGTCTCAATTTACCAGCCATTTACCTTTGTGCGTGCAGGTCTAAACAGGCCGGAAATAGTCAGTGCCCTCATCCCACTGGTTAGAGATTTGGTTTCCATGTTAAAGTCACGTTTCATGCATCCGTGGGATTTGAGACTCACAAAACAGCCGTAAGCTCCCCATGGCCGTTGACAAGTGAATGGTGCGGTAATTCGGGCTTTGGAATTTACTTCGAATTTTCGGTAATCAAGCCAACTTTGTCTCAATGTATTCATCACAGAGGAACAAAATCAATGGCAGAAATTTTCTTACTTTTCCAATCGATGAAGAAAGAAAATCGGAATTCCTAAATGGT